GCAGAATGGATGAACTGCAAGATGATATGAGTATTTCAATGGTTATGCACATTTATCTCCAAAATAAAATAATAAGAGATAAAATTGATGAATAAAAAGAATAATAAAGAAAATTAATAGACTAGAAGATCTACAAGTAAAATTCAATAGACTAGAAGATCTAGTCAATAAAATGGTACAGAATAAAGTGCATCATGATGAAATGGTACAGAATAAAGTGCATCATGAAATTAAAGAATGATGAAGAAAAACGTTAAAATCAAAAAAACTGAAAGAATAAAATATCTAAGGTACTAAATTATTTTAAAAAAAGGAAATGAAAGTTGCGTAGTTTATTAGAGAAACAAAAAATGAAAAATAAAACTTTCAAAAATTAATAAGAGTATGTTGCAACAAAGACCAATGATAGACCTTACTCGGGTATTTCTCGTTGTTGCAGTGTTCATCTCATTTTGTGTATTTATAAGTTTTTTAAATAATACACTTTACTCTTCTCAAGTGAAAATTGAAAAAAGCGATATTTTGATGCCATTGATGAATGACGAAATATATTTTGATTATGCAGGAGCGGCTCCATATACTATTGAACAAATAGATCAATATTCCCAATTTATGAAAAATAACTTTTTATGTAACTCTCGTTTGTTTTTTAGTTAAATTATATAATAAAGTCAATAATAAAATAGACTCACCTAATGTTTGTGGATTAAGAAGTAGTGAATTAGTACAAAACACAAGGGACACAATACTAAAATATTTTAATGCACAAGACGATTATATAATAATATTTACAAGTGGATGTACTCATGCATTACGTGTTGTTGGTGAATCATTCCCTTTTGAAGAAGGGAGTCAATTTATTTTTACAAAGAGTAATCATAATTCCGTTCTTGGTATTAGAGAATTTGCTAAACTTAAAAATGCTTCATTTTTATCAGTAGATGAATATTCTTCTTCTTATTTAAAAACTTCTATTCATCCATCATTATTTGCTTTTCCTGCTGAAGATAACTTTAATGGAGTTCAATATCCATTAGAATGGATAGAGGACATAAATAAACATGAGAATTGGTATAGTTTAATTGATGCAGCTGCTTTTGTTAGCCATAGTCTATTAGACCTTAGTCAAGTCAAGCCACATTTTGTTACATTATCATTTTATAAAATTTTTGGATTTCCTATGGGAATTGGAGCTTTATTGATGAGAAAAGATGTCGTAGATAAAATGAGTCCAATTTACTTTGGAGGAGGGACTGTATATGCATCATTACCAAATGTAGATTATCATGTCTTTTTTGGATTTTCATCAAAATTTGAAGCAGGAACCTTACCTATATCGTCAATTGTAGGAATAAAATATGGATTTGAAATGATTAAGAAAAAGGGAGGTATTAAATCAATTCAAAAACACGTAAAACTATTAACACAAAAATTAGTAACATCACTGAAACAAACAAAATTTGAAAATGGAAATCCAGTATTTGAAATATATGGAAATCATTTTAAAAATTCATCATTACAAGGAGGGATTATTACCTTTAACATTCATCAAAATGATAATTCTTTAATACTTACTGCTTCTATTAATTCATTTTTAAGAGAAAAAAAGATTAATATTAGAACTGGTTGTATGTGTAATCCAGGCTCTTGTCTTAAAAGTCTTGGAATTAATGAAGATGAATATATGAATGATATCCCGAAACAACCAAAAGGTGGATTTGATTCAAATTCATGTCTTGATATAATGGTTGGAAATAAAGAGGCAGGTGCTATTAGAGTATCACTTGGATATGCCTCAACAGAAGAAGAGATAGAACGATTAATTGAAGTGTTAAATGAATATTTCAAAGAGAATCAAATGAAAATAAAAATTCCTATTAAATAATAATTAAATAATATTCTCCTTTTTTTTTACTTTAAAAAGTTTTGAAAATAAAAATAAAAACTGAAGATTTAATCTTACGTAAATCTAATGAGTGACAAACGTCTATCTTATCTTGATAATCTCTTTCAACACAACGAAGAAGATGAAGACGATTATGATTGGGAAAATATTAATGAAGACACAAAAAAAATTCAATTTAAACTTAATGAAACAAAAACAACTCAACAGAAGAAATTAGCTCAAAAAAAACAAATAATACAAAAAAGTCAAAATGATGAATATGACAAAGGTACATGGGAGTTAATGATGGATTGTTATAAAGAAAATACAATAACAGCTAAAGAAGAGACTAAAGAATCTGAAGATAAAAATGAAATCAAAAGTAATGAAACAAAAAAAAATATTTTAAGATGGAATAAAAGAACTCAAACAATGAATGAAGAAGATTGGCAAGCTGTTGAATTAGAATATGAAAACAGTTGTATTAGATTAGAACATGAAAATAAAAGAGTTTTAAGAGGTAAAGAATTAAAAAAACATGGACTAGGAAATATTCATGGAGTTGATATAAAGAAAATACGAAGTATGATCGAAGATTTTGGGGAAAGGATTGTTCAACCCCCTTGGTTTGTTTGTGTAATTTGTAGAAGACAATTTAAAGATAATGATGAATTACAAAAACATTGTAATGAAAGTATATTCCATTGTATAAATTGTAAGTTATTAAATGATATTAATTATGAAATAACAGATAAACAACTCTCACTTAAACAACTTCCATCTTCTTTATCAGAACAAACATCAACCTATCCCACAACAATACCAAATATTAACGAAAATATAGGAGCTCATTTATTAAAACAAATGGGATGGGATGAGTCTAATATATGTGATAATTGTGTTCCATTAACTGTTAATACTTCTAGGGCTGGGATTGGGTCTTCTCATTCATCAGTTCCACTACCCAATCCTAGTACAATGATTCGTTAATAAATTTGTTATTTCTATTCATTTTCCTTGACAAAAATAAAAATAAAAGTGAAAATAAAGGAATTAAAAGTGTATGTTTATTATTTATTTTTAAAATAAAATATTTATAATCCATAATTTAAATAAATATAGAAAGGTCATTAAGAGTTGCAATAACCAAAAAAAATAAAAAAAATAGGAAAAAAAGTTTTAAAGATCTCAAATAATAAGACTAAAGTAAGAAATGTCAGAAGAATTGAAAATCAGTGTTG